CTTGCGACTAATTAATCGCCATGGTGCTTAACATTTTTAAATGGCGCCTAAAATTTATCAATGCGTCGCCTCATTCGAAACCATTTTAAATTGACTTGGCAATTGTCAAAGTCTTAAAGTATCTACATTTTCAAAAAAAAAAAAAAAAAATTCCCTAACGAGAAAAAAAGACTTTAAAAGTTAACAAAGGACATGTCTTATCCTGTGTTTTCTTTGACATCTGCTTTGTTTTCTTAATCACAGAGACCACGCCTGGCTCTTTTAAACTTAGATGAGCTCACCAAACGAATGTACTGTTGAAAAGTGAGACTGAGATCAGAAGTGAGCTCGTCTAAAAATTTATAGCCCCAAGCTTTGGTAAAAGTGACACCGAGATATGCCCCCCGGCCTAATCAAATAATAGCTACCTTATAATTAGTATATAAGATATTCATCACTTATTGTGAATTGAAGTAAAATTTCCTGGTGGTGTGGTCAATTGATTGTCAATGAAATTTTCACCCACACTACATGGCCTGGATATCGAGTATCTGAAACATAATCCTCCATCGTGTTCATGTTCGTTTTCGCCCCGTAACTATAGTTCTGCTGGACATGTTATTATAGGTGACGTAACTAAAGTTAATATTGACGACCTTAGATCACTTATCTTAAAAGGTTCTAAATATAGGGAACCCCGATCCTTCAACTGGCCTGGATTTTTTTGAAGATTACGCCAGACTATGGGCCAGATATGAAAAAGAAGACGTGGACACTTTGTCGATCCATGTTAATATCGCGTATTAAAAGATTTAAGGGCAAAATGAAAACCATTTATCCTTCTGTATTCAATAACCTAGAAGTGGAATAAAAAAGAATAAGGTAGATTACATGATCAGTACGCACTGGTCCCTGTTGACAAAGCAGGTAACAACATCGTCTTCGTTTTGTACGGCTCGTTATATAAATTGTATTTTTAGAATAACTTGGATTTAATTCTACAAGTGATAATCCAACTTATACTCATAGTTCCCGTTGTAAGGAAAAAATAAATTCTTCAAAATTATATGTCAGTTTTGAATGTTTTTAATATCCTGATGAAGAACCAAAATGAATTTGAACTATTGTATTGGATTCCCAAACTTCATAGGAATCCTTACAAAGATACATTGAAGGTTCCAGTGAATGTTCATACAAGCCTCCTTCTAACTCCTCACTAAGATATTGACAGTAGTGAAGAAAAAGCTTCAAGAGTACTGTTCAAAAATATATTCAAGAAGTGGTGTGAATCAGATATGGATACTCAAAAATTCCAAGGAACTTTGGGACAATTTGAAATCACAAGGTTTTACCAAATTCAACGTAAAAACTTACGACTTTTCAACTTTATACACAACCATTTCCACGATAAATTAAAGTCAAGGCTTTTTGATATCATTGACAGCTGCTTTTTCAATAAAAATGGAACTCGTAAATTTACTTACCTGGTCATTGGTCATTTGTAAAATTCCTTTGTTAAACAAATTCTGATTGCACACACAAATACTCTGAATTTGACATCAAAAAGATAATTATGCTTTAATTTCTGATTGACACTATATATATTGTTTTTGGAGACCAGGTCTTCAAACTTTCTTTTGGAATTCCCATGGGCACCAATTCCTCTTCATTATTAGCAGATCTATTTTTTTATTCATATGAAGCAGAATTATGCAATATCTTATGCGTGAAAATAAGAAACATTTCCTGTGTCGTTCAACTCAACATTGATATATCAACGTCGTATTGTCAATTAACAATGGTTATTTCATTCCTCTGTTGATATGATAAATCTTGGTGAGCTTGAGATAAAAGATACCACAGCGGCTGACACATCTGTTTCATACTTGGATATTTTACTTGAAAAAGCCGTTAATGGTAATCTAACAACTAAGCTTTATGATAAGCTTGATGACTCTGCATGCTCTACGTATGAACAATTTCTAAAACGAGGTAAATTATTGATAAACAAGTTGATGAAGCAAGGATATTAGCAGTCTCTTTTAAAGTCATCATTTCGCAACTTCTTTGATCGAAACAAAGACCTTTTCGGCGAATACAGTTTATCATTGAGTCAAATGCCGACTGACGTTTTTCATACTAATTGTTAACTCATTATTTACATACTGAATGATCGACGGATTTCTCCGTTATTTCCCGATCTTGACAAGGAACACACGGCGGATGAGACCGGTAGGCAGGGTACGTATGCTCACTCCTCCATGGCACCTGATCCCACCTCTGATGTTTTCGAGGACCATGTTTGCTCTGCTCCTATTTTGTATTATTTCATGGAGTTTAATTATATTGAATACTGTTCGTTATCTCCATATCCTTTATTAGTAGAGATGTCGTCTTGACATTATCGATAGGTAATTGTAAACGGAAGAGCATAAAATGTTAATTATAGATTAACAATGCTTGATATTATTATATATTTATAGAATACTTAGTGAGATTAAGATTCTTTTTTTAAAAAATCGATAAAAAAGATACAAGTTTTACCATTGCTGGAAACCATGGCCGAAGTCCACCAACCTAGAGCTATATTTTAGGACTAATGAAAACTATCTAGGCTTGTATACCTATTGACTAAAACTTTGCATTAGTACATGAATATTTATGATAATGCACAAGCCGGCGACAAGAGGCTGCACTATAATCAGTAGTAAATTATTGTAAACACTTTTGAGGATTTTCTTTTACAATTGCCTACAATTTATTAAGGATGGTGATTTTTTCCAGGCCTTCTGAAATAATGCCACTCTAGAATATAGAGATTCATGTCTTTCATCGTCAGCTATATTCCCTTTCACACAAATATAATAACGTTTAACAGATTCTCAAGAGGGGGACGTCAAAACAACATACATTCAAATAAAGTTGATCATTTTGAGGAATTTCACCAATTCCAAGTTTCAACTGGAAGACAATGATTTGGATTCCAATAAAATATTTCTGATGACTATCTGTTCATAAGGTTGTTAGTTATACTTGCTCAGAAAATAGACTATTTACATACAGTAAAAAAGATACTCGTGATGGGGAGACTAAGGTTCGATTCTCTTTCGCGGCACCGCGTCAAACCTAAGACGTAAACACAAGTAGTGACTGTTCCTTTGCCAAGCGATCGGCATTTGAAGTGAAAGTCACGAGTCTTTAGTATATGACTTTCAAAACGTAGATCCCGTGTCACGGTAGGCGTTGGCACGATAAAGCACCCTCACAGCTCAATGGACCTGAGTGCCGAGTAAAGGTCTAAATTTGAATCCCTTCACCGGCATAAACTAAAGGTGACATCTCTATATGAGTGAAATATTCTTGAATGTGATTCTAAAAACAATATACAATAATAAATAAGACAAAAGGAACAGGATAATACAATGTATGCTTAAGTAACGTTTTAGATTTATAACTGACTGATTAAGAGTAAGGTACAATTTTATGTTTAACTTATAAGAATTACAGTTGAGCAAAGAAAACAAGGGAATTAAAACAAAAATTCAAGAACAACTCATTGATAAAATGATGAAAATAATGGATAAAAACTATAATTATAATTGAGAACTGAATTAAATGCCTTTTCATGATTTCACAGTTAATAATAATAATAATAAGGTTGATAACAAAAATGGACTATAGTTAAACTGTTTATACTTAACACTAAATAAAATACTATGCTAATGATATTGCAAAATAATGGTTCATTATCTTTAATTTATTAATTCGTAATTTATTTGGTTATCTTGATTCTTTTTGAGTTCCATTGAATTTTTTTTTCTAATGTGGCTATGTGACTAGATATCGATCCAAGATTGCAGTTTTAGTCCTTTGCAAATTAAGCTGCGATTCAGTGTCCTTCAATAGTTTTTAGTATAACTTGTAATTAAATAGGTTTTAGTATAACTTGTAGTTAAAAAGTTTAGTTTTAAAAGTCTTTCACACATCATTGAAGATGACTATTTAAAATTTATTTGTGGTTTGCAATTCCTGATATTGGTTTAAATTTTCGAATTCCTTCAGTTCCTCGTATAATGGTTTTGTACATTGCAATTCCTGATATTGATTTTTTTCCTTTTCCTTCAATTCCTCGTAAAATGGTTTTTCAGTGGTAGTATTATCTACATTTGTTTCATCTCCATCTTTTGAAAAGGGACGCCTTCTTTTCCTTGGGTTGAATTTTAAAGCTCCTTGCCTTCAATAATAAAATGTATATATATATGAGAATATAATGAGATTTTTACGGATACGTTTATGTCAACTTATATACCAATTATTTCCCCAACAGTAGTTATATTAAGAACTATAAGCGTTATACTGCATATTTGTGCTCCAACAAAAGTAAAATTTCTTGAAATGTGCTAAATTGATTACACTGTATAATATCTACATTTACAATGTCTTTGTCAGAGATAAAATTACAAATTGTAAAAATGTACTTTATTTTCCCATCAATGTATTGGCGCGGTTTTAAAAAAAACCACGTGAAGGGCGGAACAAACAGCTAGTCAGAAGCAGGGCTTGGAGCACGTGGATTGGCGGAATCAAAGCATGTAAATGTAAGGAATAACTGTCTTATTTTTCGATTTCATGAAGATGATCAATCGATTGGCTTGTGTGATAATTTTATGCATAACACCAAATCCGAATAGTTTGTGACGTCACAAAAATAAAAAATATTAATAACCTACTTTAAAACTATCATATTTGTTATTAATTTAGATTTCTTTAAGGAATAAGTGTCTTATTTTTCGATTTCAGACAACTTTTTGTAAAACATTAATTTGATAAGGAAAAACAGTTTGATTACATAAAATAATCTCTAAAGACAGTTAAATTACAATTCGAAAATAATCAAAATCATGCAGTTCCTACCAACAATTTAATAAAACATGAAGATTACAAGATAAGAGAGAATTTAACAGAAATATGAAGTCAACTTTACCACTATTCTTTGTGAATACATGTATTACCTAATTAGCATTAGAAAGACGAAAATCAATAATCCAAATATGATGCTCAGGACTACTAATATATAGAACTCTAGGGTCCATTTTCCACTTGACGTTTTATCTACAACAAAATGGAAGTTCAAGGGTTTAAAGATGTAAATGCTATTATCTTAGTATATTAAATTTGAAATATTTGGGATCCATTACTCAACAGGACATAATATATTAAAACAGAAAGATACCCTGATAATCACAGAGTAGTCCGTGATATTAATCCTGACATCCCTGGGGACAGATTCCATCAAACCTACTACAGGTTTCACCGTTAAAACAGTGAGTACTACATCTATGCTGACAATTTACTCCAAAGAATCCTTGTGTACATTCTAAAATCATTAACGGTGTTACTGGTTAGTTTTGTCTACATAAATGCATAATTAAGTACATTATACATATATATATATATATATATATATATATATATATATATATATATATATATATATATATATATATATATATATATATATATATATATATATATATATATATATATATATATATATATATGTATATATATATCATTTATATTTGCATATCTCACTGTGCTTTTAGATTGAAATAATCTTTATTCCTGATTTCAGTTGATGATTCTTTTTTTAAGAGGGGGGGGGGGGATCTTATTTTTCAGTTAAACTCGACTAAGTTATATTGTAACCCTATTGTTTTAATATTTATAACTACTCTACATAAAAACACATTTATTTATTTATTTGAAGAGGTTTTTTAATGGTAAATTGTATTTTGATATCAATAATGGAAACCTACCAACCTGTTTTGCAATTTGGTGAACCTGCAAATCCGGGTAAACAGTCGCATCGACCATCCGTATGGTCACATATACCAATACAATTTTTGGAGCAAGTGTTACTACACTTATAGCCGAAGGTACCGTTCGGACAAGCTGCAAATCAAAACTATCTTTATCACAGCTGAATAATGCTTGAAATTCACATAATCCTTTATTTTTCTGGTTTTATGCAAACCCAGTTGAAAAGTTATTGATGTTAAATGTCTATAGGATAATTGCCTGTTTTTCCTTTCTTTTTGCACAAATTGAAAAATAGTTAAGGTACATGTGGTCTGATCCTATTATTCGTATAATCAGGCCATTTTGTTTTAATTGAAAAAGCTCACAAAATGTCTTGAAAGTCTCAAAGTTGTGTGTTTACAGTACCTGAAGAAATTCGTTTAACTTCTTCAGTAATGTCAGTTAATATGTATACATGTACCGATACTTTATGTCTGTATCAATAAGGTTTCAATTTCAATACTAAAATTTATAAAAATATATTACTTTGAAATTCATCTTTATTCAAATTACATATATTCTTACGATTTAAACACCTTATCCCCATGTAACCATTCAAACATCCTTTAATACAACTTCCATTGATTTGGTCGCATGTTCCATTGTTACAGTATTTACAACAACGTTCACTGCAATTGTTACCAAACAATCCACTTGGACAGGCTGTTGGTAATAAAATAATTCATGAATAAATATAAATGGGAGAGATATTAAGAACTCATAGGAAAATTACAAATATTTAGCATTAGGAAACTAACTTTCGTCACAGAGGACTCCGAAATAACCTGGATTACACCCCCTTACACAAAATCCATTTTCTTCTTTGCAGAGAGTTCCATTCAAACACTGGTCACTGCAGTTATGTTCACATCCTAAACCATAGGTCCCGTTCTTACAATCTATATTCATATTCAAAAATTAAATAGTTCACGAGTGCATATTAAACATTTCTATAAAAATCTATTTCAGATTATGTTAATTCTACGTACGTTCATCACACTGATTCCCCATCCATCCAGCTGCACATCCTTCATGACAATTTCCGGTAACGTGGTTGCATGTTATATTTCCTCTACAATGCCCCATACATTGTCTTGTACACTCTTTGCCATGCCATCCAAATGAACATTCTGCTTGTGATGAAGGTTTATCACAATAGTATCAAAATATGCATCAAACTTTAAGGCACTATATATGTGTCTATAAATATTTTTACCCGTCAGTTTTTTGTACCTTCTTGGCACATTTCTCCCATGTATCCAGGCAGACAGCCCAAGCAAGTTCCGTTGACAATGTTACATCGTTTATCTTGACAGTTGGCTGGACAAGGCAAGCTACAGTTTTCTCCATACACTCCAGTTTTAGAGCATCCTAATAAAAATTGAAGATTATAGGATATTTACACTTGACTAAGAAGAAAATACTTTTTAGCATTCAAAATGATCGCTAGATTTGTTTCTAGTTCCTAAAATAACAAGTGATCTTCCTACCAACTTTTCTCTAGAAAGGAATGCTACATCATCTCATACTAAAAATGCTTTTCTGAACGAATATTTATTGTTTGCGTTTTTATACCACAGCCTTTCAAGAAAAATCTGAATCATTAAGTCATTTCTCAAATCTCTGTAAAAAAAAAACTGCGAAACAACCTCTTTATCTCACCTTTTCTGTGGTCAATTGCAAAATTACTTTGTATGAAGTATTCTGATTGTATAAACCAAAAGCATGGCCTATGTATGACCATTTTTTAAACTAGGTAAGTTATTTACAAACAAGTTGCTGAAAAAAATTATCAGCAGCCCTGCTTATAGTCATCATTTCGTAATTTCTATCATGGTAGATACAATGACCTTGTCAGCAAATACAACTGAACTTTATATCAAATTCTGAATGACGATTGTCATACTCTAGATTTGGCCATTGCTGAATTGACGGGGAATTTATGTTTTTTTGATTATGACGAGGCAGGGAATGCTCACTACTCCATAGCAACTGATTCCAACTCTAATGTTTCCGAGGTCCACGTTGCTGTGCTCCAATTTTGTATTGTAAAATAGACATTTTAGCTTGAATACTGTTGTTATCTCCTTATATTTCATCTTTTAAAAAGTACAGAAATCAAAGTCTAGAAAATATGAATAAAAGATTAAAAGGGGATACAGTCCCTGAAACGTTCTACTTTCCCATTTTTCCGTTCGCTCACCGTTCGTTCAGCGTGCGTTCACCGTTCGCTCTCCCTTCACAGTATTGCGTTCACCGTTCACCGTGCGCTCGCGTTCACCGTTCGCTCTTCCTTCCGTTTCATTTAATTGCGTTCATCTTGCGTTCACCGTTCACATATCGTTCAGTGTCATTCGGAACTCTGAAGTGAAAGGACTTATCTTTTTCATGGTAAGGATTTAGTATACACGTTTTTAAATTAAATAACTTAGATATCGTGTTTGAAGAATTATTATTTCATTGCAAAAATTATCTATGATATTTATATTTATATTAGTATAACTCAGCTGTTACTTTATTCATGAAATTTTCATGGGAAAAATACATTAAGTACCAACATGTACATGTATGTAGAACGATGCTAAAATATTATATTTTAAAAAAAGGGGCAATGTACAAATACTTCAGGCATGGCAACAATTTGTTGTAATATTAAAGACGACAAATCATTAATGGATGTATAACGATTATTCCAAGTCTTTTACAAGACAAGAATACACAAAAATTATTTCTACAGTAACACGTATTTTAAACTACATGTAGGTCTGAGGATTATGAACAGTACCGCAAATATTCAGTTAATTAAATAAATTTAGAGCTTATTAAATTGATAGTGTGATTTAATAATTTCAGAAAAGAAAAACTGTTTAAAATAGTCTATTATTAGAGAAGGAAGATACCTTCCTTCACCGTACCTAAATATATATTTGCCATTCAGATAATTAAGACCCCCCCCCCCCCCCCCGGCCCGCCCGCCCGGTGTCTTTTCTCCCTAAATAAAATTCTTCGTGAGTATTTTCAGTATATTCTTATTAATATTTAATGTGTATTGTAACACAAGAAAATCAGTCTTAAAACTAACATCAAACAGTCATTAAACAATAGTATTTCAATATAAACATATGCCGACAGTAGAATTTAAATTGGCAGAGAACATGTTTCATATTCAATTTAAAACTTAATCCTTCCAAGTATATATTTCCATTATTTATTTATTTCTTCAGCAAGAATGCAAAAATCAGATCTAGAAATGATAGGGAAAAATATTAATACTTCTTGGAAATACTAAGTGACTCTTTGCCTTCGGCATGTTCGGTGAAACGCGATTTCCACGCCTCCACTGTGTCGAATGATTTTAAATTGACAGAAGCACATGGACTTCCTGTGAACCATGTGAACTTGATGAAAGAAAATAAAAGGTTAGCCAATGATTACTGTCAAATGGATTTGTCAATGTAAAAAAAATGATTACCTTTACTGCTTGGAATATTTAGGGAAAATAATAAGAATTTTATTTGATACAACAGATATCTGAGAATTTAAGGGGTATCTCTCTCTCTCTCTCTCTCTCTCTCTCTCTCTCTCTCTCTCGTACATTTATCTGTTCAATAAAAACAATGACATCACATTACTTATTTAGTTTTAAAAATTTAATCTATTACAAATAATTTGAATGCCTTTTTGTATCATCTCGACCGAATATAATCACGGCCGGGAAATGTTTACTGATACATATTGAAATTAGCTAAAATAATCATCATAAAAGAATAAAAAAATACAGATATATATAGAATATATTGCATTAGAATTTTAAAATACGAGAGTTTTTATGCAATACGTCAACAGACAATTGTGAATTTAAAAAAAAACAAACAAAATCCGTTATTTTACCCAGAATCGCTTTGGCACGGAAATACATGTATAGTTGTTTTAACCGCGTACAATGTAATTAATTCATTCTATATGTGTAGTAGTTTTATCTTCTAAAGTCCACATTATTTTATTAGTGAAAAGAATAAGCATATGTACTATATAAATAGATTAATTTTATATTTAAACTACACGCGTTCAGTAACAAATACGAATGCAAATACACATGTTTAATTAAAAAAATTAATTAGAATGTTCAATTAAAATAATTGTGTTAAAAATATCGATTTAAAACATAGGTACATATATGTACAAGATTTTTTTCATTATATATTTAAGTATTTATTTATTTATTTATCTATCTATTATTTATTTAAATTAAAGCACCTGAAATTAGAATTATAGAATAATAGAATAATTTCAATGCAGGGAAAAGATCAGAGGTATTCCGAATAAATCGTTCATCTTGCATTCACCGTTCACTTTGCGCTTGCGATCTCCCTCCGTTCGTGTTCTGCGTTCACTCACCGTTCACCGTTCATACATCGTTCACCAAGTTGAGTTCAGCGTTCGCACATCGTTCACTCACCGTTCGCTCTGCTTTCATTCACCGTTCGTAATTCACCGTTCGTTCACCGTTCAGGTGGGAAAGTAGAACGTTTCAGGGACTGTAACAACCCTGTAAATTCCAGAAAAAATATGAATAAAGACTTTTTGGATTCATTTTCGTATGAGGTCAGAATTTTTTTTTCGATAAAAAAATAAAAGTCAATCAACACAACTACATTTCATGTTCTAACATGTTTGTGAGTTTCACTTTGATATCGTCATATATGATATAACCTGTAATTTATGAAAGACGTCGGAAAATTCTTAAAATAGAAACTAGACGAAAAACAAAATATGGTTAATGATGATAGAAAACGGATGAAAACAATAAGGTCTCCAGAAGACCTTCAGAATATTCCAAAGAAACAATTCACTGACTATAGGAGTTCTGTTATGAACGAAAGACTTTCTTATTATAAGAAAAAAAGGCAAAGATAAATGAATTTTTTATTAAAAAAAATTTTTCTCGATAGTTTACTTTTCCTCTTCATAATTTAAAAATAAAATACCGAGCAAAGAGAAAAGTTCGAACGGAAAAGGTGAAAAGGTGGTTTCATAGTTTACTAGTTACATGCAATTAATGTTCTTTTTAGGGATATCCGATCCTCAGGCAGGAAGGATAACTCCAAACATTAATATTTAATTTGAAATGCATCAAAATGAAGCTTGAAAATGAAATTGTTTTCATGCAACAATTTTCATTTAATTCATCTGTATGAAATTCAAGGTCTTTGGAAGTCTTAGAAAAGGTCTTTGACATTTGTACCCTAAAAATGAGAAAATATTAATACAGTTTTAGAAAAATAAGATTTTCTTGAATCCAGTCTTAGATACCAATGTTTATTAGCATGATATGAAATAAGATGGGATTTGTGGTGTCTTACAATGATAGCAAAAGCCTTTTACTTTATGTATTATAGAATACATGACGGAAATAGAAGACAAAAAATACCAAATAAGTTTTAAAACAGGACAATTTCTCTGAATGCCTGAATACCTATTTTTTTTTTAAAAAACCTAAAATATATATGATGGTCAATTTGCAATTAGAAAATGCATCGCTTACAATTTTTCCTATGTAATATGATTAACTTTAATCTTTAACTTTAAAGAAATACTGTGAATAAATTTACATTCATTTTGTGGATTCAGAGATACTTTTATGAGTATTTTTGATTACTTAACTGCTAATTTTATAAACTCGAGGATTGGACTACCTTAATCGTTTTTTTCTACATCAGTCAGAAATTTAAAAGTATGACAAGAGAGAAAAAAAAATCAAGACTCTGAAAGATATAGTTGCAAAAATTATGTTGTCTTTTTTGTACTTCTCTAATAAACCAAACAGTTTTTAAGCTACACTATATATTCACAAAAAATGGAAATATGACTTACTCTTTTGTTTTTAGAATATTAGATTTATGTCTTTTAAAGAGTCATTTCATTTAATTTCAAGGAAAAAAATGTTGTCGTGAAGAAATTGCTTCCAAGAATCAAATCACTAAATGAACGAAATAAAATCAATGAAACCTTGAACTTTCACTTCACACAAATTAGTGTACACATTCAGAATTTGATATCCCTCAGGATAAGTTACTCCGTCCAGCCTTTCATTGTAGTAGATGACGTAACGACCATATCCTATACACGTTGTGTTAAACTCCAGGGGAGGTAATGGAAGCGTGTTTTTGTAGCAAAGTAAACCATCTTCTCTACTAGAAGAGTTAGATATAAAAAGGGAAAATCCAGCAAAACGACCTCTTTGTCTCATTTCTGAAATTTAAGAAATAATTGCATATACAGTGTATGTTCAATTAAGGAATACACGTTTAAGGTTCTAGTTAAAAAGTTATAAGATTTAACATGAAATGCAATATTAAAACGCTTCATCACATCGCTAAAAAAAATCTTACCAAGTGGAAACAGTGTATACATACAGGGATTTTCAAGACATTTTTTGACTGAATGTTGTTTTCTTTTATTTTTTTCATTCTTTTTAATGAACACCCTTTTTTATTAAAAAAAAAACCCTATGCGTTAAAAAAAGAGATGACAACATAAATTTTAATCTTTAATTTCAGAGGAAGATTTATGTGATTAAAAGTCTCATTTTGATGAACACTTTATATCGGACGTCGTTAGTGTCATTTTTGAATCCAGTGCTTCATGTAAAATATTCTTGCAAGTACATGTATTTTTATTATACACGAATATCTCAAAAAAATTAAAAGATATATCTTTAGTCTTAACGGGGCCGACAATAGTTTTATTGTGTGAAAACTACAATAGCGAAACTCTGCATTTTATACCATATATAACTAACAGTAATTTCAGGGTACATGCAAAGTTAGGGGGAAATCTACCGTCCAGGTATTTTTGAGGGACTTCTCAAAATACAGGTACATTTACTATATGATTATATAGGAAAATGCCAATTTTTAGCACTTTACACCAAATTATGCAAATACTACAATAGACTTTTTGTTCAAACTATAAAATTTGATGAGTAAAACTATATTATACAATATGTGTAAGAAAAACAAAATTCTACCGTCTTGTTACCAGAGGGGGGCATCTTCAAAATGCAAAAAAATAAGCAAATTTTCCTATTTTTATAGAGTATTACAAAATATGACGTACAGAATGGATTTACATGAAAACATAATGATAATATTGGAGATATTCTCAAATTTCTATGTTCAAATTTAAAGAGCTTATGTTTATAACTTTTTCTTTACGCAGATAGGATAAGGCTGTCCGTAAAATATCAAACTGTTCAGAATGTAGTAAATTCTCTGAACTACCTATAGCTAGATATGACGCCATAATAGAATATGACGTCAGCTCACTGCATTCTTGAGCTAACATGACGGGGAAAGTGTAATAATTTGTACATCGCATGTAGAATTATTTTGGGGCGTTTTGTTTAATTCAAGTGTTAAGATTGTTTTTAAAGCTCAAATGTGCTGTTATGGTGTTTAACATTTCAAATTTAAATATCCATATTCCTTTCGTTTGTCCTATATGCACATATTCAAACAAGAGAGAAAAATTATGTGTGAAACGCTACCCTTACACGTCCGTAGACAGAGTTAGAATTTAAGAATCGTGTTTATATTGGACTGGCACAAGTGATAAACAAAAACAAATTGAAGATATACTGTGTGAATCTACAAGAGAAGTATGTCATCTAAATGAATTTTGTTTGCTGGGGGATTGTGAGTAGTTCATCCATTTTTGTATAAATCGCGATAAAGAGTGGAAAATACCCCCTATTATGTTGGTAAATTGAATTTCTCGTAAATATTTTCTTAACGAAAAACTTAAAAGCACTTTCTATGTACCAGAGATCACGATGAATTGATCTATGTAACGAACTTTGTACAATATTTTTGTTTTGCACTTGTGCCGGAGCGATTTTTGTACATCATTTAGGAGTATCATAAATCTCCGTCACGTGATCAACACAGTCATGTGATATTACAAAAATGATTTATTATAATACCTGATTAAACTATCATATCAAAATCTAGCTCAAAATAAAATGTATATTTTAAGGCATTTTACGCCTTCGGAAAGCCTTATCATAACTGCGTAAAAATATTTTTATTACCTCTTTCTTTAAGAGCTACAGATTATCATAACGTCAAAAACACACTGCAACGACGTAAACCTACCAATCAATTGCAAAATCGGTTAAAATCGGTTATATTAAATTGTAATTACATTTTTATACCTATAATTTCTTAATTTTGTTTAATTTTAATAATTAAGCGAAAAAAGTTTCATTAAAACAGTATAAATACGCTTCTCTCTCTCTCTCTCTCTCTCTCTCTCTCTCTCTCTCTCTCTCTCTCTATCTATCTATCTATCTATCTATCTATCTACATTGAAGCACCTGAAATTTGAATTATAGAATATTAGAATTATCTCAAAATAAATGAAAAGATCGGAGGCATTCAGAATAAATCGTTCATCTTGCGTTCTCTGTTCGTTCAACGTTCACTTTGCGCTCGCGTTCGCGCTCCGTTCGCGTTCTGCGTTCACTCACCGTTCACCGTTCTCACTTCGTTCACCAAGTTGCGTTCAGCGTTCGCACATCGTTCACTCACTGTTCGCTCTGCGTTCGTTCACCGTTCGTTCACCCTTCAGGTGGGAAAGTAGAACGTTTCAGGGACTGTACCCCCGTTGACTCATAATAATGGCGACAATAATTCAATTTATGTTTATGATTTTTCTTTTTAATTTTCACTGCATATTGTGTAAGTTTGTTAGATTTCTGATCATAATAATTAAACGCAATTAAGAATTCTGATAACGACGAAAAAATGGACAGACCAACCTGATAAACCAACAACGACAAGACTGCAAAACATGTTTAAGGGTTGTTTTTTCATTGGTTTATATTTTTAGTGGCCAATAATTCAACCAGAGTAATATCAAAAGCTCCGGACGACTATCAATTTTGACATAACGGAATCAATAACGTTGACCCGCGTTGCGTAAATTGGCACTGCATGATGCAAAATCGTGCTGTTTATATGACAAAACACTGGTGAAGCAACAGCATACATTTTTAAAAGAATCATTTAAGAAAAGAGAAAGTTTGATTTTTGTAATGTTATTTATGATAACAACGAAAAAAAGTAGCTTCCCGATAGTAGCACATGCAAAAACATCTCCGGCTGACGTGACATTAACATGACGTCGTGATGCTGCTACAGGTTGACCTATGCAAGTTTATAATTTCACCTCGAACTTATCTAATTATCCTATAAATTAGAAATTTTGCAATTGCATAATTCTTTTATTCTTTCTTTCTAAAATGTTGGCAAATTTTTCCTGAATTTATCTCTGCTATTTATAGATTTGAAGTAAATGTCTCAATAATTTCCTAACTGCCCTAGTATGATCATTTGTGAAACTCTTCATACATCAATGAACACGGACTGACAATATTGGTAAGTTGGTTTTGCAAGGAGTCCCCATTGCATTGCTTTTTATGATTTGATAAAATCTCTCTAACAGTTGAACTCACAATTGAACCAGCAATGTTGTATCCTTCCTTTTTTCTGTTTTTCCAACACTTTCTTTGAGTAATTTAATTAAGATCTTAAGATTTGTTTGCCTTGTATTGATGTTTTGGTCTTATATCGCTCATATATTTAAAACCATACAAATTAATAATTCCTATTATGTAGATACAAAGGAGAGATTTTTTTTAATGAAAATGAAAAATATTCACCAACTGTTCACACAATGTTCGACTCGTAGCATACCAACACTGTGTACCCTGTCTGTCTAAAATAATCGTAGACTTGAATCTGCATAAACGTACACTTGTATTCTATATCATAATGGTGGTGCCAATTATAACACGAAAACACATAGACAATTGCCTTCACTATGGAGCGCTTTAAGAGGGCCTAGCACAGACACTACATTGTCAGAAGTCTCTATCCGCATTTCGTATAATATATGGCTGTAATAATGTCCTTTTAAGAACTTTATAATATTATATGATATAATATAATATGATATAATATAATAATATAATATAATATAATATAATATAATATAATATAATATAATATAATATAATATAATATAATATAATATAATATAATATAACCTATCATTGAGTCGAGTTTTGATTAACTTGTCTAAAACCAATTGTCATACCTTTGTTTTTGAACTAAAGATTTTTATTTGTGAATGTTCTGTGACAGTGGCATTTATATAAACGAGTTTGCTGAAGCGTAATTTTTTTTTTAAATGTTCGATTTCGATAGAGAACTTTTAATTAAAAATGTTAAATATATCTTACAATTACCTTTCCTACATATAAAAATTACTGAAGAATTAAGAGACTTCATTCATAATGAAGAACAATTTTTCATAATTCAAATACACATATCCGATTTTTTTAAAAATAAAGCTAACCAGCAACTCTAAAAGCAAAATTTTCACAAATAAATGATTCATATAATATATAAATCAAACGTTTAAAGATATCAGTGCAAAAAACATGCATGTAATTAAAAAAAAGTTTTTCTGCACCGCTGAAAATTAAGAAAAATTATTGTCTAATAGTGCGAAATTGTCTTTGCCTTATACGCCGTCTTTCTCTAACTACGAAATTTTTCATAAACTTGATCTGTGCAAAGCGACTAAGGAGGTGTCTTGGTTCAGAAAAGAATTTTAATTCTCCTCGGCACCACATCCCATCCTGGAGTATGCTCTTTTTACATACGTCCGTCTGTCTGTCTGTCTATCTGCAAAAACTTTAACCTTGCCTATAACTTTTGATTTGGTGGAGCTATGACTTTCATATTTCACATGTGTATTCCTTGTGACAGGACTTTCCTTTCGGTACCACTAAATTTGACCTTTTGACCTTGGCTTTTTGCCCACTTTTACACAAGAAATTCAAACTTTACCTTGCCCACATCTTTTAAACAGTAAAGACCAGGACATTTCTACTTTAAATATGTATTTCTTGTGGAAAGACCTTTGTTGCAAACACTATTGAAATAATCATGTCAATAGTGGCTGAGGGTGCATTTCAATAGCAAACATACTATGCAACCACTATTGAAATACGACGGTCACCACTATTGAAATTATTATTTCAATAGTGGTTGAGAGTACATTTCAATACTAAACAAAGGTTGCAACCACTGTTGCAACAATGTTTACTTTTGAAATTTTCAACCACTATTGAAATAATTATATCAATATTGGTCTTATTTCAGTAGTTGTTGCATACTATGTATGTTATTGTTCACTCTCAAGCACTACTGAAATAATTATTTTAATAGTGGCTGCGACAGACCTTTTATTGGATACCAACAACTTTGACCTTTTGACCTTTATTGTGGAAATTTGAGTACTTATAAAAAACTGGAACCTTTGCCATAACGTTTAAACTGTAACAGTTAAGGTGTTCATACTTCACATATGTAATCTGTGTGAGAAGACGCTTCTTTTGATACTGCAAACTTTGATCTTTTGGCCTTGATCTTAGGGTTTGACCTACTTTTAAAAAGCAAACCTAGACCCTAACTTTTAAAGAGTTAGGGCTAGGGTTTTTTTATACTTCAAATATTTAATCCATGTGACAAGACCTGTCATTTGATATCAAAGAATTTGACCCCTTGACCTTGACTTTGGACCTACATTTTGAAAAATTTTAGCTTTGCCAATAACTTTTGAACGGTTAGGCTAGGACTTTCATATATCAAATATGTTACCCTTGTGACAAGACATTCCTATGAAAACCAACAAATTTGATCCTTTGACCTTAACGTTGAGTTTGATTTATCTTTTAAAAACTTAGCCTTGGATATAGCTTTTGAACAGGTAGTGCTAGGACTTTCATATTTGACAATTGCATTTCTTGTGACAAGACATTACTTTGGGTAACAACATAATTTATTTTGCATTGACGAAAAGTATAATCTCTACTATGTGGCCAAACGGGGACATCAGTGTTTCACAAACACATGTTTTTTTTATGTCAGAGAATCATCTTTGTTTATTTACTTTTTAATTTATATTAATGTGATTAGTTAGTATAATATGAAGGCAAATCGGAAACATACCATAATCTCCAGAATCTTTGAAGTCTTTAAAAATTATGCTGATGCTGTAAATACTGTGAATGTCTCCGAGATCTATCATCCACCATACTGTTTTGTACCGGTATGCTGATATTGACCCTATTTCGCGTGTCATCATACATGTGTTTACATCACCATCAATGGCTTTATCTGGACCACAATCAGAGAAACATGCTTGGATTGTAGATTGTGTAGCATTTTTTCCTTTTGATAACTCATCTATCAGAAAAAATGATAATTTAATAAACTGTTGATGAATTAAAGGGTCAAATTTTAAGCATTTAAATAAAACAAAGAAAATTATTTCCAAACGTAAATTTTAAGTGTTTGAACAACAATATATACATGAAGAACACTACGTCTTGGGTGATAGTGTAAAGAAGAGACACAGTCATTGTAAGGCTTTAATCGGAAAGTTTTGGTTTCAAGCTCCGGTCGGGATTGATACAAGTCAAGAAAAAGAATTATCTTTATCTTCTCCGATTGCAATTTAAGCAATTTGAAATTTGAAGAAAAATCAACGGGTATTTTTGATTACATATTGAAATCCCGAAGTTATTAACTACCACTGGGCTGGCGTATGAATGCTAATAACCCCTGCCTGCACTCGTCAAATTTTAAAATCCTTTATCTTTTTATGATAATATATCTATAAGATATAACATTTTAAATTTGACTAAAAACAAATAGCAATATGATAAAGGTGATGAAAACACTGCACGAGCGATCAATGAAAACCTAACCTGATAAAAAATATAAGAAGCTGATATAAAAAGCTGCCATGTAAATGCTAGTCAGAAATAACTAACGTTTTCCAGGCTTTTTAAGATTGATTTTTGTGTCAAGAAAACTCAGAACCACCACAATTACGGAAGCTGGGAATTACTCATATGAAAAAATACTATTAGAATTCGATCGGAGTATTCAGTTGACTACTAGTTGACGGTCAACTGACCGTCAATTGACCATTAGTTGAATTTTTGACATGCAAGTGAGGGAGCGATCAACTCATTTGCATAGAGTGGACCACTGTTGAATGCTCCTCTATTTTCTTTGCAGTTGACCGCTAATTGAATACTCCTGTATTTCCTTTACAGTTGACCGCTAGTGGAATACTCCACTATTTCCTTTGCAGTTGACTGCTACTTGAATACTCCTCTATTTTCTTTGCAGTTGACCGCTTATTGATAACTCCACTATTTCCTTTGCAGTTGACCGCTAGTTGAATACTCCATTATTTCCTTTGCAGTTGACCACTAGTTGAATACTCCTCTATTTTCTTTACAGTTGACCGTTAGTTGATTACTCCTCTATTTCCTTTGCAGTTGACACTAGTTGAATACCCCACTATTTCACTTGCAGTTGACCGCTAGTTGAATACTCCATTAGTCAGTGCACGTAGGTTGCATTCATTAAACATTTGAAAAAAATGGAGGGAGATTTGAAATCTATATAAGACAAGCAGTGTTCTTGAAAATATGAAGAGGTATGTCCAGTTCACGATGTTTTTTTTCTATATATGGCGACATCGCTGTAAAAATACCAGTCTTTCTAATACTATAACATATTCAACATGACAATGCTGGATAATACCTTTGTTTATCTCTCTATATATTACATTGTTTGACAATGTAACGTCAGCACCTTGTTAATATTTCCTTCCCCTTTCTTGTTGTTTACATTGTTCACATCGTCAACATCGCAATGTTGGTCGATATCGAGTCGACATCGCGTCAGCATTGCACTTATTTTTCTTGTTTACATCGTTCACATCGTCGACATCGCAATGTTGGTCGATATCGAGTCGACATTGTGTCAACATTGCCCTTCTTATTTTTTTTGGTTTACATCGTTCACATCGTCGACATTGCAATGTTGGTCGATATCGAGTCGACATTGTGTCAACATTGCCCTTCTTATTTTTCTTGTTTACATCGTTCACATCGTCGACATTGCAATGTTGGTAGATATCGAGTCAACATCGTGTCAACATTACCCTTTTTCAAAATATTGTTTACATTGTTCACATTGTCGACATCGCTATGTTGGTCGGTAATTGAGTGTGAACATTGCATTCTTATTAATTTTTCTTGATAAACTTAGTATCTGTGTTGGCCTATTTCGAGTTATCATTCATGTCAACATTAAATTTCCTTTTTTTGCCTTTTTATCTTGGTAAAATCATTGACAACGCATTTAACGCATAAAATCAAGTTTAGTTCATACTGATATAAGTTTACTTTTTGCATATCATCACCAGGGCAATCTTTGACTCTTATGAGTCAACATCAAGTGTACATCAAGTACGAAGCATGTCTCTTACATTCTGAAAATGAACTAAAAAACTGATTTTCAACCTTGGAAACAGTGTTTGTCATCTGTCCAGTACATGCAAAATAGTTTTAAAATTAATTACATTGCGTTGTCAATATACAATGTAGAAAAAAGCAATAAAGACAATGTAAATGCGATATCGTATCAACATTATCAACATTGCGATGTCGACGTCGACGATGTCGTCATGTAGAAATAATAACAATGTACACGATGTAAACGCGATATCGTATCAACATTGTTTACATTGCAATGTCGACGTTGACGATGTCGTCATATAGAAACAATTACAATGTAGACGATGTAAACACGATATCGTATCAACATTGTTTACATTGCGAAGTCGACAATATCGAATTGATTAGGGGAACTGGACATGACTGCATATGAAAAGTCAAAACAATGGAGTTTCTAAATTGTCATAAATGTACTTGTAAATCTAAATGCATTATACGAGATGTGATCAAAAACTATCTCTATATCTACAAAACCACAAACAAATTAGAATGAAATTCAGTACACACATAGTCATACACAAGTTCTATAAATAGCATATGCTGATTTAAGTTTTTCTTCTCGTTTGTGACGTCACAATGTGAAAATGACGTCACTATTTAGGTCACTTGTGACGAAAAATGGTTTTCTCAGTCGAACTCGTTCAACAAACTACTATACAATTTATTGTATATCTTAGAAATCCCTCTACAAAATCATATAATAATTTGTACACAGTTTATTGAGATAAATGAGTTCCTATAAATTCAATTAACGATTGGATTAATCGTTTTAGTGAAGGAAGGCTGATGGTCAAAAATGATACTTGTCATCTTACCCAGTGAAAGCAAGTTTTGAAAAGATATGTATTTTTAATTAAGAAGTTTGCTATCAAAGACCTCCAATTAGCACTTTGAAAAATAGTTAAATATTTGAACAATGATATAAGTATTAAATACTTAAGATATCGTTTACTTTAGATGTTAAACATATTAAGATATGATAAAAAAGGATGCACCCATTCTCCATCCACCTTGAATAAAGGTCTCTCCTGAGACAGAAGATTTGTGTTTTAATGGTCGCCATGCTTATTTTTGGAAAGGATATTATTATCCACCCATTCTGTTGCCGAGATATGACCGATTTTGACAAATGAAATGTTCTTGTCATAAAAATTAACTCACATGAAAAGAAATATAAAACTCATAAAAATCTTTCAACTTTTGTGACAGAACACTACGGAGGGGGTCAAGTGACCGCCAATATCACGTGATTCGCGCATGCGCAGAACGGTGGTTGATGTGCATTAGAATCGGGGAGGATTAGTTTAAAAAATAATCAACATTAAAACCAAATATTGTTTCTTGTATGGAAGTTATTCAATTAGTTTGCGAACTTTTTGATCACCCCTTGTACATGGATTGAGCTGGCACTCTCTCATAAGTTGTTACATGCCTTCTTCATTTCTTGTGCAGAAAAGGTTATATATAGAATTTAGTCTAAAGCACTGGTATATTTTTACCAACACAACAAGACACACAACATAACACTTGATGCATGACAAGTTTTCAGAATTCTTTCAACATTTAAAAAAGTTCTTAAAAATAGGGACCTATACTGGCTACAGTGTTTCGTATTCCTATTATCTGCTTAAAAATAACAAACTTAGTAAAACAAAATCTTTAAATTTTATATACTTACAATAGTACATGAGATATTTCACACGCTGAATCATCACGAAGACAATAATGTTTCAAATCAAAATTCCCACCTTCTACAGAAACACACATGTACTGATTTAAATATTGGTTGTTGCAATAATGGTATAACAAACCCGATCTATGATAATGTAATTTTGAACCCAACATAAATGTAGCGTGGGAATTTTCTAACAAGTCGGAGTGTTCAACTAGTGGTCAACTCTTGTTTTACATGAAATTTCAAAGTATGAGCATTCAACTAATGGTCAACTGGCCGTTTTATGCAAATCAGTTGATTGCAATAATGTTTCAAATCAAAATTCCCACCTTCTACTGAAAACACACATGTACTTATTTAAATATTGGTTGTTGTAATTATGGTATAACAAACCCGATCTATGATAATGTAATTTTGAACCCAACATAAATGTAGCGTGGGAATTTTCTAACAAGTCGGAGTGTTCAAATAGTGGTCAACTCTTGTTTTACATGAAATTTCAAAGTATGAGCATTCAACTAATGGTCAACTGGCCGTTTTATGCAAATCAGTTGAACGCTTTTCAGAAAAGAAGTTAACTCCTAGTGGACAACTGATTTCGCATTATCAGTTGACGACTAGTTGACGACTAGTTGACGGTAAACTACACATTTTCGTATGGGTAGCCACTTCCAACCAGAGGCGGCATTCTCGGGATGATTTTCGATATTTGAGAGTCGAATTTCATCTCAAACTTAAAACTTTTTAACCATTATGGTACAGTGCTTTGCTGTCGAGTTTATCGTTGGTTTATAAAATATAGTCTTGGGTAAAAAAAAATTTCATCCTATTAAAAGAAATCATTTCGTACGTACTTTTGTCGATTCTATGACCTTGTCAGCAAATAAAATTTATCATTTAGTTAAATGTTGACTGACATTTGTCATGCTTTATGTTATTACATTATTTATATACTGAATTAACGAAAGATTTTTCCGCTACTTCCCGGTCATGTCAATGAGCAGACGACGGGCATGACAAGTCGGCAGGGGAAGCTCCTCCTCCATGGCACCTGATCCCACCTCTGATGTTTTGGAGGTCTGTGTTTGCTCTGCTTCTACCTTGTATTGTTATATGAATTTTGATCTTGAATACTGTTTGTTTTCTCAAAATGTTTCATCCTTTCATGCAATTTAAAATCTTGAAAGACCTCTATCTAAATAGGTAAAAGTAATATTGTCTTTTCATGGATATTGGAGAGTACTAACGGAATAGTTCTATTAATAAATGTTGAGTTCGGCATTTAATTCGATTCGCAAGAAACGAAAATATTTTGTTTTGGAGCAGGCAAAATATTTCAAGTTCTCCTAATTGGTCGATTCCTGGAACGTGTAACATAACAATCTATAAAAAGCCTTGAACGTCTGACTTTTAGGACTATGTTAGATCTTTTTTACGAAGCTAAAATTATCCCCCATTTGCCTTTTGTATTTGTAACTGGTTTATGTATGTACTTTAATCTTGGTGAGACCTGCTTACTTGTTTTGAATACAGTGTGCTCAGTGAAATTTATTTTTCGATAAATGAGAAACGTGAATTTTAAAACCTTTAGCCTTTTCAATGTGCCATGATTTCGTGTAATCTCTATGGATACATTTACCTTATGATAATAAAATTCGGTCATCGTTTGCATAACGTTCAATCAGTTATTGGTACCGATTGTTAAGTACATCATACTTAATCTCTCACTCAAATATATCCATATACGTACATGTAGGAGCGTAACTTCAGGCACAATATTAAATTGAAAGTTCTTACTTTAATGCGAAAAAATGAAGAAAAATTCATTACGTACCAAATCCAAACAATTGTACTATTCCTGTGATAAGTAAAACTATTTTATAACCTGTATCCATATTATATCTGATCCAGTAGTTATAAATTAATAACAAGGAAATATTTAGTAAGATATAATTTAAAAAAAATCTTTTGTTGATACCTTATTACTACAACTAGATAAGTTTAACTTCTTCCATACTTGTGCATTCATTATATACAGGAAAAATTAAAGCTTTCTCTATCGATTTCTTTCGTCAAGCATAGGTGCATTTTATGGGCGTATTTTTTCCAATTATTATGTTTGCATGCTTTTTATACCAATTTATTACAGATGCAAATTTAATTTAACTTCATGATATTTAAATTTTTATGATTTTGAAATAAATGAAAGAGAACAAAATGATACGGTACTCATGTTTTAAGAAATAACTTTTGTTTCCATACACATATACCACATGGCCCTTATTTTAAATTACACTGTTTCACAGGCTGATGATAATTCCGGATGTTACGGTAACTTTATGGCAGCACAATGAAATAAGTAGCATACACAATGACAGTTAAGGCCGAAATATAATAATGATATTTACCATTGCAAATGCAAAATCATTTTGATAAAATAACTATTTTGTGGAACTTCTCATTCTTTAACTTTTCCGTGTACTGTCATGGAGCTACCTCACAGTTATAGTGCTATCGCAACATTTCACATTCTCTCTCCATTTTAATAAACAACAAAACACTTAGGTATGTTGCTTTTTGCCACTAATGTGGTTTTAATTGTGGACAATATTTGTAATTCATTATGTAATCATTGGTAAAGAAATCTATGAATTTATTAATTACCATCGGAATTGAACTCAAATAAAATCCACCATAATTGGCATGTCTCCGCAAAGAATGTGATTATAGATTATATAGAGAAAATCCATTAATTCTTTGAAAATCTTCTCTGCTCAGGGGTATCAAACAAACTAACTTGTAGTTATGATGAGGAAGGGTGCCTCTTCTAAATTTGTGAATTCCATGGCCCCGGGGTAGGAGTTCTGGCTTTAGGACGGGGCTCTATAGATTATATAGTGGAAATGCATTACCTCTTTAAAAATCGTCTTCTCTGCTTCTGGGAATTAAACAAACA